GGGTATATTCTGCTGTAACTCAACTAAGGAGTGCCAAAACTGTACTAGTAATGGTCTTGGCCCCTGCCTGAAAGCTGAATTGAAGCGGACTCTCCCCCGGTCCGGGCCGCACTATGGGGTTTAGGCTAAACCACGAAAGCCCTATAATTGTCATAAATTATCCTTGGCTGACTTCTGAACCCCTCCAAAAAGTTAAACTTTTCGGCTCCTTATTATGGTTCATATAGAGACCCAGAAAGTTACAGTCCTAAGAGCCAACCAGAAGAACACCAAGTATCCCTTGTAGTTGCAGGAAGCCAAGGATGGATTGAAAGGCGAATAAAAGGTGATCCGCATGTTTAAGCCGTTAGTTAACACTACAAAGAAACGCTAAACCCCAAAAGGTAGGGTACACCACAACAGCTTTATAAGCCCGTAACCCTAAACCTTAAACCCTGAACGATAAACCTTTAACCCTAATCCCTAAACCTTAAACCCTAAACCCTAAACCCTAAACCCCATAAGACCCTAAACGCAGGCTAGAGGATCCAAGAAGAAGGATGCAAACAAAAGCGAAGACCCGAGACCGGACTCCGGATATCCCATAATCTTGCCTGACTCTGAACCCCTCCTAAAAGTTAAACTTTTCGGCTCCTTATTATGGTTCATATAGAAACCCAAAAAGTTAAAGTCCTAAGAGCCAACCAACAGAACGCCCAGTAATCTAAGGTTAGAAGCATGGGACCCTTACACCGACTTACACCTTTCTAGATGTAGGGTTTAGGGTTTAGGATTTAAGGTTTAGGGTTTAGGGTTTAGGGTTTAGGATTTAAGGTTTAGGGTTTAGGGCTAGAAGTATGGGCCCCTAATATGGACCGTTTCACCTTTCTAGGGACCCCGAAGGGTACTTTTAGGGTATGTAGTAGGTGTATAAGGATCCCAGGGCTAAGGGNNGCCCATACTAGGGGCCCATGGGCTCCACCTTAGACATATGCGTGAAAGAGTAGTGTAGACCCCTGAACAATCAACTCACCATTTTTAATCTTCACGGCCGTAATTTTAGGTACTGTTTAGAGTTTATAATCCCTATGAGTGGTGGAAGTCTGATCAGGGGTCTGCGGTACGGTCCTTGGGCCCAAAGCCCTTTGTGAGTTCTTGCAGCCTTCGGGCCTCAATGAGT